TAGTTCTATTTTTGATCAAAGGAAAGGAAATTTTTATTTCCTTGAGACAGCAAAAGGACTCGAGCATGTTTTATGCATAAAGGCCAGTGTTTGTCTGTAATGGCAGCCTGGGAAGGTCCTTCTGTGGTTGGGCTATTTATTAGGGTGGGTTCTGGGGGGGCAGGTAGCAAGTAAACGTCACGTGAAAGTGAAGAGTGGAAACTAGTTAAGGTATAGCCAGGAATGGGCGAGTGGGTCTCCTTGAACAGATGCTGCGTTCCCGTGGGACACACATGTGTCCCCTTAAGACAAAGTCTCCAGGGCCCGAGTTCCTGAGCGAAGTGGCTTTCTTGGCAGCTTTGATCCTGGTAAGCATTTGAGCCCCTTTCAGGACCGGTTCCCACCATAGCCGATGAACCTTTGGTTTAGAAGAATGGTCAGAAGTGTGGATACCAAGTCCAGGTGACCAGGGTTCAAATCCCAGCATTGCTACTTACTCGCTGTGTGACCTCAGGCAAGCTACCTCACCTCTCTGTGTCTTATTTCCTCATCTTGGAAATGGGGCACGCCTACCTCATAAAAGTCTCACAAGGGCTAAGCGAGCTAGCAGAGCTAAGGAGGCTGGGGCATAGTGAGTGTTGCAGTGGTGACGTAGCTTATAGTCATTTGGGCAATTGCCAATAGCATCTAAAACCTTACTGCGCTGCCCCCCGGAAAGCTTCTGGAGCCCTGCCCTCTTTGGGAGGCCTTTGAGTATGTAGCCCTGGCACCCTGCGATGGGAATGCTCTGAACCTGACTTCTGGGGACCGGCTCTGCCATGGGAGAGCTGTGTGACCCTGAGCAAGTTGCTGAGCCTCTCTGAGTCTCCATTTCCTCAGCTGGGATGCAGAATTCCAGCACCCACCTGGTAGGAACACAGCAGGGGATAGAACGGCATTTCATATAATAAAATGTGTTTATTGCAGCTGAGTTGAATATACGATACGACTCTGTACTTCTGAACACCAGAGAAAGAACCGGCCCCCAGGCACGGCAGGCAGGCGAAAATGAATCCACGCAGTGAAGGTACAGGTGGCTCACAGGAGGACAAAGAAGACATTCTGTGTCTTCTTTGGGTGGAAAGGTGGATAGTTTCAGAGCGTTGTCCTTCCAGCCACTGTGGCCACTGGCCAGCAGGGAGATGAGAAGCGGTCCTCTGGCCCCTTTCATTCTGGTCCTTTGCCCAGGCGGGGAGAAAGCTCATTCATATCTGACTTTTACAAGACGGGCGGCCATTTGAAACATCCTGACATCTCCCGCAAGCCGTTGGCTCGTGTGAATATAATCATAATGATCATATGACAAATAGCAGGAAAGCTGAATGACAGTGGCCCTGTTGGGGGTCTGTCTTTGAAGCTGAAGTTCAACCCCCATGTGCTGCAGGGAGGTCCGCCAACTGGAGCCCTTCTTGCCAAGTCTGCCTCTCTTTTGTGAGGTCCTCTGCTGGGGGAGACCAAATTGCCATTGCAGCCCCCCAGGCTTGGCTGCACGCCACAGTTGGCCCACGAGCCCCAGAGACACCTGCTCCTGTCCCCAGTGGGGACAGAAACAAGAGAAACTCACCATCCATTCTGTGGCCTCTAAGCCTGGTCCTCAGCCCAAAGCTGGCTCCCCAGGCCAACAGGAACCCAGGAACCAGAGTGAGTTGTAGGAGCCCGTGAGAGGGTATAGACCAGCACCGTCGAGTAGAAACAAAATGTAAGCCAAACGGCATCTCACAGCCCCAGTTTTGTGTATGTGTGGGTTCTTTTCCTAAAGATTGACTGTCTGATTGATATAAGGAATCTCTACATCCAACACGGGGCTCGAACTCACCACCCCAAGATCAAGAATCATGTGCTCTACTGACTGAGCCGCCAGGTGCCCCCTAGCAACCACATTTTTTTAAAAGTTAGAAAAAAAAACAAGTGAAATTAAGCCTAGAATATTTTATTTAACCCAATAGATCCAAAATATGACTGAGATATTTTGCGGTTGGGAAACTAAGTCTCCAGAATCTGATGTGTCTTTCCCACCTAGCGCACATATCGTTCATACTAGCCACTTTTCCAGTGATCGGTAGCCACACGTGGCTGGTGGCTTCGTACTGGGCAGGCAGGTTTGGACAGCTCACAAGGGACAGCGCAACCCACATCCTACATCATGTGTATCTACATGTTTCCCTTCAAATGGGGCTCTCTAACACGCTTGCCCTTTTGCAGTGAGATTTTTAATTTTTTTTTTTTCAAAATATGTATTAGTAGCAGCTCATCATTGAGGGGAAAGCATGCTTCGTTCTAACAATGAATCCGCAATGGTAAGGTTGCACCGCTAGACCTTGTAATTTAGATCTTCCAACCTTCCCATTTCATCTAGCGTGTAAGCCAGGGGCGACATGTTGTGAGCTTCTCCAAGAAGAAATGCCCCAGCTGAATTTCAAATCCCATCTGGTTATTACCGTTGAGAACACAGCAGCGTTCCACATGACTTTGTCATCTCGGCCCAGGAGCTGGGCTGGCGGGCTGGAGGGATTGCCAAATGCTGTCGCCAAGAAAAACGAGATGTTGTCACTTGGCATTCTGCTTTGGTAAAAGCCTTGGAGGAAGGAGAGGGTGTTATCACCAGGAGTCATGAGAGTCTGATGCTGTGCAAATAGGAAATAAAAACCAAGTTGGACCAAAGTTGATAAAGAGTCAAGAAGAAAAAAAAAAAAATCTTCAGATGGCCCTGGCTTTTCGGATTTATGAATCATTCTGACCAAAGACAGGGAATTCCTTACCCTTGCCCTCTGACAGCTTTCCGAGCTTTCCGACTGCCCAAGTAGAGGAGTTTGATTGGTAAGACTGCTCAGACGCTTGCAGAATATAGGATACGAAATACAGCGGGACTTCCCTAGTTCAGCACCCTCCGTCCCCCAGCCTGATAATTCCCGCAGCAACACGGTGCCCCAGCTCCACCTGAGTTAACAACGGAGTAACTAAAACTAAAAACGATTAATAAAAATAGATTGCCGGGAGTGGTTTTAATATCGTTACAAGAACAAATTTTATTCAAGGGCTTCTGAAATACAACTGAAATGGTGGTTTTAAACCTCTTTCATCTTCAAAGCCCTTTGATTAATATTTTATTAATCTCAGTGTGAGTGATCACATACATTTGGCAGTCGTAAACTGTGTTTTTAAAAGAAAAATGTCAATATCCAGAGCACCACTTATGAGCTGCTTGGCCCTGGTCTCTGAAACTTCTTGCTATGTCAGCTTTCCCACCTATAAAATGGGGAGAACAATTGCTCCTGCCACACAGGACTCTACAGAATGTGCTCAGCATGTTGAATATACAGTAGGTGCTTAGCAAGTGCACTTTCTTACTCTCCCCAAGAGAATTTCTGTTGTTTTACTGAGTCAAGACAGGCTTTGACCCAGTCATTTCCTGTCTTGGAACCAGAATGGCAAGCCTCATTTCACACCACCAGGTAACACACAGAGGCTCATTATGGTAGGGTTTTTTTTTTGTTTGTTCTTAGTGTGTATTTTCCAAGTTTTCAAAAAAAAGAACAAATGTAGTTTTTTAAAAAGAAAGGAAGGCCTCCTTGTAACTTCCTCTGGTTATCCTATCCTTGACAAGAAAATGAGCTCTAGAGCTGTCAGATCCCAACATGTACCACATTGAGGCAAGCCACAGGAGCTGTATTTCTCATGCTGCAAGGAGAAATATTAGTAATACATTAAAGAAATGGAGAAGGGGGCGCCTGGGTGGCTCAGTGGGTTAAAGCCTCTGCCTTCGGCTCCAGTCATGGTCCCAGGGTCCTGGGATCGAGCCCCGCATCGGGCTCTTTGCTCGGCAGGGAGCCTGCTTCCTCCTCGCTCTCTCTCTGCCTGCCTCTCTGCCTACTTGTGGTCTCTCTCTGTCAAATAAATAAATAAAATCTTTAAAAAAAAAAAAAAGGAAATGGAGAAGAAGGGACACGCAGGTTTGTTTATGTCCCAGGACATTCCATTAGACACCGTGGGCCATTAAAAAAAAATACCCCAACACGTTTCAGAGTCACGTGTGTGTGCAGAATGGTAGAATGGTCATGGAGAGCACCTGTCTGGATGTCTTCGCCTCAAATCCTGGGGCCTGATCCATGGGTCGGGGGATTGTGTCCTTGAGAAAACACCAGTGTTTTAATACCCCATGTCACGCTTAGAAATTCAAGTCAGTATTACCCTCTTCCACAAGGGCAGGTCCTAGAATTATTCTAGTACTTCTGGGAGCCACAGGGGTAGAGGGGGCCTTCGGGGGACAGGTCTCCGGGGGTGGTCACCCAGCTTCACCAGCTCCCTGCATTCTGCCAACTCATTTCACGTGTCCCGACCCCTTCCTAGTTTGCTCAGATATTTAAAGCAAATCTAAGCTGTCGTGTCACTTCACCTGTAAATACGTCCTCTCTTGTGCATTTCACCCATTAATACACTCATCATACTTTTCAACAAAGCACCGTGCCATCTTCCTGCCGCACAAAATTAAGGCTAACCTCTTAATATCATCTCCTATCAAGACATTTTAGTTGCTCCTGATTTCTGTTTCACAGTAGCTTTGGTTTGGGTCAAGGTTCAGACAGGGTTCAAATGCGACATTTGATAAAATCACGTCTCTTTCAAACTGTTCTGAAATCTCAGCAGATACCTCTTCCCCACCTCCATCTTCCTTACTTTCAGCCAAATTCTATTATGTAATTTGATTATCTTATTTCTCAGACTCGTGGTCTGAAGGACCTCGGCTTTTTCCAAAAAAAAAAAAAAAAAGGTAATGAAATCTATACCGTGGCGTCTCCGGGTGGACTGAGGAGCAGCTCCCGTGCAGGTTTCGGACATCGAGTCCTGGGAAGGTGGTTCCCAGGGTGTGGGATTTGCGGTTCCCTCTCCCCTCGGTGCAGAAAGGCCTACACGCTTGACTTGTCTGTTCGAACACAGGCTCTTTGATTCGCCACTAATTGTAAGCTGTATGTGTTTCCACACAGATAATCGCGTATCAGCCGTATGGAAAATCCGTGGACTGGTGGGCCTACGGTGTCCTATTATATGAAATGCTAGCCGGGCAGGTAATGTACGTTTCTGTACTTGTTTATTGTTGGATAATGTGAATGCTTTCGGCTCTGCTCGGGCCAGGACGGTGGGACCCAGCAGCCAGTGCTGCCCCGACTTCCCTGACCCAGGTGAAAAGAGGGAGAAATTCCCCCCGGCCCTTGAAAGTGGATTCTGTTCAGTAGGCACAGCAATGATCTCTGGTCATAAAAACCCCAAACTGAGAGCTGAGACCTGGAGCATCGACAACGTCGCTTTCCTATTAAACAGAAAAGTCCCTGCACGTTGAGGACGACCTCTGTAGGTTTTCAGAATCTCAGAGCTGGGTTGGGTTATGTAAGCTTGTCTGCACAGACTCCCCCCAGCTGTTGCCCTGGTGTAGAGTTGGAATTATTAGCAGAGGAAGAAGACAGTGGAACTTGAAGAAATGCCTTTGTAGCTCCTCCCCATTTCTCCTTATCTCGCCCTTGGCAGTTTGTTGCAATTTTCACAAAAATCCAACGAGGCTGAACCTCCAGTTATAAAAGGACAGATTAGGTTTCTCAGAGGAATGCAGCGTATATCAGATAAACGGGGAATGATGGCGAAGCTGACATTTTCTTAATATGTGGCCTTAATATCTGTTGGGTTGGGGCAAATCACACAGACTGCTGTAACAAGCAACCCCCAAAACCTCAGTGGTTTAACATGGCACACGACTTTATTTTATATTCTTGGCACAGCCCGGCGGGGGGTGGGGGAGAAGCCTAGAGGTGGCATATGTCACTCCTTCCTACAGCGCACTGGCCATGTGGTCCCACTGGGACACAAAGGGGTGGTGGGGGAGGGGGAGATAGAGTGCACCTGTGAGCCGTGGAAGGTTGGGTGAACATCTACAGATCTCCGCCATTTTACCTAAAAATTACTCTGTTGTGGGCAGCTTTTTTTAATTCCCAGCAATTGAGCACTGGTGTCGAGGAGTTGGACCCTCTATAGCCAAAAGTTTAGTAAGAGTAAGTGGAAAGAAATATGCATGTTGAGCAGCTACCCCCAAGGAAATCTTTGAATCTTTGTCCCTGGAGGGGGAGAAGAGTCACCCTTTCTGACCTATGACGTTCATCGACTCCTTCATTTATGCATTCAGCGTGTACTTGTTGATGGTTTACTCTCTGCATGGTGACCACCAGAAACAAAACAAACCCTCACCTTCTTGAGGCCTATAAGGTAGAGAGAGAGAGAGAGAGAGAGAAGAGCAATAAGCTAAGAGAAAAAGTAATAAAGCAGAAAGAAAATGTAGTGTGGGAGGGAGGTCGAAATTGAAGCAAGGACGGGCAGGGAGGGACTCATGGAGAGCTGAAATAAAGACCAGCAAAAAGAGAATACCAAGTACATATGTGGGGTGAAAGCATTCTGGGCAGGGGAAACAGCAAGTGCAAAGGCCCTGGGATGGAAATGTCTGGCCATGTTTAAGAAAGGGATGGGAAGCCACCAGTCTGGCCAGAGCAGAGTGGGTTAGAGAGGGAGTGAGAGGCCTGAGGTCAGAGGAGGAAAGGGAGCCCCAGGTCTTGTGAGCATGGAGGTCATCACAGACCCTTGGCTTTGTCTCTGGGGTGGGAGGCCATTGGTGAGCTCTCCTTTATGGGTCTTTCATTGTCTTACATCTTTTAGATACTAAAGTAGTCTCTTAGAGATTAAAAGATACAGGGTACCAGCCTACATTGGGTAGTTAACTGACAAGTGATGTTAAGACTTGATTGATAGTAAAATGGTTCGTGATGATTCATTTAGGTTTTTAACCCCAATAAAATGTTCATCTCAGGCCAAATACCCCCATTTGTAAGCATGGAAAAGCAGGTCATCAGAACCACGGTCAGTGAGCCAACAGTGGTTGCCTGCCCCTTGAGTGAATTTCCTGTCTTTAGAATTTTGACCATAAAGTTTGACGGGATTATGGGCCCCTTGAGAGCCAGGCTGTTCACGAAGGTGCAGAAAACTGAGTTCCCCTTCTTGGTCCCACTTGCATGTTCTGACTCTTGAGCCCAGAAACAAACGCTGCTTTCACTGAGTCACATTTGCATATGCCAACAAAAGAAATTATTTGGGTGGAAATAGGATCTGTGTCACTTCCAAGGGCACTTTCCAAGAGATCAGATGAGCTGACTCGTCATTGGTGAGCAGGAGACTAGGACTTCAGAAGTTCTGTGCCCCCCACACACACCACACACCTACCCCCATCTTCCTTACTCCCCAATCCCGGGGACTTCCTTCCCTAGAGGAAAGCTCAGGCAATGCTGCCCTCCTGCAGGGAAGTCCTCTTCGGGTGCATCTTAAAAATCCTGCCTCTCTTGCCTATTATCCCTGAGGCCCCCACCTGCAGACGCCCTCCCCCACGCGCAGTGCTTCCGTAAACATTCTGGCACATTTCCATTTCCCATCCTGCTTCTCAGACTCCCGTTAGCCTGCCCGATAGGACCCCTTCCAGTTTCCATGATCCCTGTGGACATTGGTGACACCCTTTAGATGTGACATCTTAAAGGCGGCCCACGTTTGGGCACCGTGGTGGGCTCAGCCATTACTCGTCTAAATCCAACACAGTGTTTTCATTTCGGTACCCGCTTCTTCGTCTTCCCTGTGACTCAATGCAAATTTCAATGTATTTCTGGGCGGTGAGTCAGCCCAGAAAGGATAATGAAGGCTCTGAGACTTTACCCACAGCCCCCCAGAAGCTGCAGCAGCCTCCAGACCCAGCAGAGGGAAGAGACGCAGTTATTGAAAAGTAAGATTAATTATAAAGCTGTTGATGGGGTTATGGTCTAAATTTATCCTCTTTAATCACAGAGGGCTGACGATGAGCAGAAAAGAGAGTTTATTGCAATTTTCTTCTCACTTGGTATATTTATTGTCATCAGCCAAGGGGACAGTTAAGTAGAAACAGCCTGCGTCTTTCTTCAGTTCCTGGACTGCTTGACAAGTATGATTACTTTGGGGCGTAAACAGTATTTACCCAGCACTGTAATAAGCATGTTGCGGTTCTAAGTGCTCACGGGTCTCCATCATAAAGGGACCGGTGCTCTCCTCTTTATGTCCCCTTTTGCCAGGGCAGTCTATGCTTTATCTTCTTTCCTGACGCATTGGTGATGAGTGCTTTCCCCCAGCACTTTCACCTGAAATATCTTTGGGTGTGTGCCACCCCCTCCACCCCACCCCCCACCTCCGCTGGTCACCAGTGATCTACAGACAACCATGGCAGGGCCCCAGCATCCAGGAACCAGGCGGTGACTTAGAAATCATTTTAGAAAGAGTGAACCATCACCCCTCCTCTAGTCTAAACTTCACAAATTGCATATTGCTAAGGAGAACACCTCTGGTTCGGAACATTTTCACACCCAGCCGAGAACCGTATCTGACACGCAGCTTAGCTAGAGACACTAAGCCCCGATCTGTAGAAATTTAAAAATAATCATGGGAATGTGGGAAAGAGGGGAGAGAAGCAAATCCAGAATGGTCGTGCACTTACTCCTCAGCAACAGCTCCCCTCCTGTTGTCCCCGGGCACAGTAGCTAACTGGGAGGGAGACGGAATATAATTATAATTTCACTCTTGACCTGCCTTTAGCACCAAGGCCTGAGCAGCAATTACCTGTACGAATGCTCCCGGGGTGACCTGGAGAGACTTAACAAGAGCCATAAAAATGCTCCCATCCTTTGACTGCGTAAGCCCACACCTGGGACATTTTTCTTAGGAAGTAATTGGGTGAAGAGAAAAGTGACATGTGCAGAGATGTTTCTGGTAGCCTTAGTTATCAGAAGGGAGCCTGGGCAGCAATTCTGAACGTGCCCATGGACCAATGAGCCTGTGTCGGACGGGTGAGGGATCTGCCCCACAGGGTTCATCTTCCTGGGAATACCGGTAGCCACAGAGAGATTATTTGCAAAAGTCAGGGAAAAACAAGAAACTCCGAATTACGCATCCTTATTTGAAAATAATACAACAAGCCTAAGAGTTCACAACACAGTAAGAGCAGTTTTTGTGGTGAGGTGAGGGGAATGTGGATGTGCCTTCCTGGACCCCACTCCCTCCAAGAACACATGATCTTAATTTAATAGCAGGCCCCCGGGAGCTTTCCCCAGTCTGGTGATCATTATCACTGCCCACCAGGTAGCTGGGGGCCTCCTCCCTTCTGGCACGCGGTGGGATGGTACCTCCCAGCTCACTCGTGGTGGGGTAGAGCGTGTGGCTCATTCTGACCCATGAGATCTGGGGGGACGTGCTCCAGGGTGGACACCCCAGAGCGCCTGTCCCCGGTCCCCCGCAGCAAGACCAAGATGGTGGCTATACCATCAGCATTGGTCCTTGGTGACCTCTCCTCACTGACAGTGGACATGTGGCATAAGCAACAGATAAGCAAACAAAGTCAGGGCTGGGAAGTCACGCCAGGTCTCTAGAGACAGTCCCTCTACACAGTGACTTGAAATGTCTCTGGCCATAGCGACTGCCCCTCGGTCTTTCCAGATCCCACTATTCATCGTGTCAGATACCAAAATGGCCTCCCCACATACCTGCCCCAGTCGAGCTCTCTTTAGGTGTGCGTGGACCAGCAGCTGAGCACCTCCCACCCAGCCCTGCCAGCAATAGCGCCGGGGGACCATCCCTCCCCATCTACCTGCCAGCGCAAGTGTGAGGGATTGGCAGTGCCCAGAATGGCCCAGAGCCCAAGCTCTGCAGTTAGATATCTGGGCTTGAGTCTTTTTTTTTTTTTTAAACATATAATGTGTCTTTTACTTCAGGGTACAGGTCTGTGAATCATCAGTCTTACGCAATTCACAGCACTCATCATAGCACATACCCTCCTCAGTGTCCCTAACCCAGCCATCCTATCCCACCCTCTAACAATCTTCCCCGCCTCCAACAACCCTCGGTTTGTTTCCTGATATTAAGACTTTGTTATGGTTTGTCTCCCTCCCCAGTCCCATCTTGTTTCATTTTTTCCCTCCCTACCCCCCACAACCCCCTGCCCTGCCTCTCAACTTCCTCATATCAGGGAGATCATATGATAATTGTCTTTCTCTGATTGACTTATTTTGCTCAACACAATACCCTCTAGTTCCATCCACGGCATTGCAAATGGGAGGATTTCTGTTTTTATGGCTGTATAGTATTCCATTGTATATATATACCACATCTTCTATATCCATCCATCTGTGGATGGACATCTAGGTTCTTTCCATAGTTTGGCTATTGTGGACATTGGTGCTATAAACATTCAGGTACACATGCCCCTTCGGATCACTACATTTATATCTTTAGGGTAAATACCCAGTAGTGCAATTGCTGGGTCGTAGGGTAGCTCTATTTTCAGCCTTTTGAGGAACCTCCATGCTGTTTTCCAGAGTGGCTGCACCAGCTTGCATTCCCACCAACAATGTAGGAGGGTTTCCCTTTCTCCACATCCTCGTCAACATCTGTCATTTCCTGACTTGTTAATTTTAGCCATTCTGACTGGTGTGAGGTGGTATCTCATTGTGGTTTTGATTTGTATTTCCCTGATGCCGAGTGATGTGGAGCACTTTTTCATGTGTCTGTTGGCCATCTGGTTGCCTTCTTTGCTGAAATGTCTGTTCCTGTCTTCTGCCCATTTCTTGATTGGATTATTTGTTCTTTGGATGTTGAGTTTGATAAGTTCTTTGTAGATTTTGGATACTAGCCCTTTATTTGATATGTCATTTGCAAATATCTTGTCCCATTCTGTCAGTTGTCTTTTGGTTTTGTTGACTGTTTCCTTTGCTGTGCAAAAGCTTTTGATCTTGATGAAGTCCCAGTAGTTTACTTTTGCTGGGCTTGAATCTTGGTTCTTCCACATCCAGCTCTATAACTCCAGCCAAAGCACTTAATAGTAGGACCTCAGTGAGCTCAACTGTAAAGTGAGATCACTAGTGTGTACGTCCATCATATGGTGGTTTTGAGGACTGAGGGAGCGACACCTGGAGAAGCAGTCTATATGGTGCCCACCACGTAAACAGACCCTGAAAAGCACGTGTTACTGCCACCATCCTTACCGCTGTTCACTCCCAAACAGTGGCCATCCTTCGTCAGGCAGTGTAGACTCCCAGTGGGTGATAAAATGTCAAGGGTAGAGGCACATGTCCTCCCTGGGATTGCCAGGAGATGCCCGTCCTCAGGGCCACATGGGGATAGAACACGGGGTGAAAGCCCAGGGCTCTGCCACAAGGACGCATAGTCCTGCGGCCTTTGTCATAGCTTAGGAATCTTATCACAACATCAGAGCCCAAGGGGCCTTGGAGATTCCTGCCATCCCAGGCCTGGATGATTCACTCTGGATTAAACAGCTCTCTTAATGGCAGGACTTCTTAGAACCTTTAAAATGTAAATGTCACTGCAGATCTCCATAAAGGGGGGAAAGGGTACAAACTCTGACCTAGGGGTATCCTGTAGGATTCGTACCCTGTAGTTCTAAGGAATGCTCTCTGGGGTGTGTCAGGAGCCAGGTGTCCTGCTCTCAGAGGGAACACAGAGGGGACTTCATGGTCAGCTGCTTCCTGGAGCAGTAATAGGCACAGCTCACCTGGGCCGAGGTGGTTCCCATACCAGGAGACAATGAAGCAGGTGTGATAGGCCAGTGACCTGCACAGAAGTCTCCCCCTGCCAAATTCCATCTTCCACACCAGCCTGGGGCTGGGCCGGGGTTTGGGGGGATCTGCATTGACCTAACTGTCTTCAGATGCAGAGGTTCTTGCCTCCTCCCCTGACAAGGACTCTGGGATGATTTGTCTGAGTTTCTCTTTGGAGAAAAATTGCTCTTAAGCTTTTGGATAGGATGGTCCGTGCCTCAGCCCCCATAGTATTCCGGCCGCTGGTGCTTGAGCCACACCAGAGGGGCCAGTGGAGTCTCCCTGCTGCCTCTGTCACCACTGGGCCCAAGTTCCAGGGGCCCTTTGCAGTGGGTTTGATGCTCTACTGGTAACGTTGTTTCTCCTGGCCCGCGGCCCTAAGGGGCGCATGGAGGGGCATCGATGGGTCACCAGGAGCAGCACCCACGCCCTGCTCACATGCTGGGCACTGTAACATTATAGAGTACGAACACAGAAGAAATTCAGAGAGAGTGGGGCCCCCTGGAGGTGTGCAGTTCACAGCCCTGATCAGAAACCCTGCCATGTCGGCTTCAGTTATAAAGATCTTGTGGCCCAAACTCAGCCACATGTATGGATCCCTTATTAGGGAAAAGGGGACATTTTGTGGTTGTCCACCACAGGGCCCAGAAGAAGTAGGTTGCATGATGTCAGGCAGAGGAGAGGTGGTAAGATGGTCCGCAGGACTGGCCTCCATGGTAGCTCTTGGCCAGCTTTGGTCTGTCCTGCTCCATGTCTTTAGATGGAAGTAGCAGCACTCCCTGCTGCTCCAGGTGACCACCTGCACTCGCAGGGGGTGTATCCGCGCCCAGCATCCTTGCCCCTGAGCCTCCCAGGCACCATGGTACTTCTGCCCAGGGAAACTCATTGTGCCAGCCCGTTACAGCTCTGCTTGGAGTCATTCACGGGCAAGGTGATATTTTTTTTAAAGATTTATTTATTTATTTTAGAGAAAGAGTATGAGCAGGAGGGGCAGATGGAGAGGGAGAGAATCTCAAGCCAACTCCGCGCTAAGCATAGAGTCTGGCGCGGGGCTCGATCTCACAACACCGAGATCAGGACCTGAACCAAAAGCAAGAGTCGGATGCTTAACCAACTGAGCCCCCCAGGCACCCCAAGGGGGGCTGATTTTAGTTCTCCTCATCCACCTGCATGCTTTGACCAAATTAAACATCCTTTACACCAGGTACTTAGGATTGAAAAAGAGCCCTATGTATTTATATTTCTGGACTAAATAATAATAACAGCAGCAGTAGTAATAATAATACCCAGCAACACAGTGGCACCCACCCCAACCCCCCACTCTCCCAGACCTGGTCCCAAGGTAGGGTTCCTTATAGACTTAGCATCTTTCCCTTGAGTAGGTGTAACTCCTGTGGGCTGACCCTACACCCAACTCCTCTCCAGGCCTGGGGGGGGTGGGGTGGGGGGACAGTAAGGCTGGGGGTCAGATGAGCAGGTTGGAATGACCCGAGGGGTGTTTTCCGGGGGAGCGGTCTGCTTGGGCCCATTGCTGTCTCCCATTCGGAGGGAGACGTTTGCTGCCTCCCATTCAAAGGGCTGTCCCGCTGACTACGGCACAGCTGTCTTTGGTCCATGAGGGCGTTGACATTTAAGCTGGACTCTGGGCATTAGCGGAGTCCTACCCGTGTCAGTCAGAGTGACAGAGACACCTCTTTTCTATGAGAACGAAAATGCGACGAGATGAAACATGTGGGTATTATCTTGACTGTGACAGTTGCCCCCAGGTCTGCCTTTCTTTCGCTAAACCCAAGGTTAGCTAAGCCTAAAGGGAACATTAAGAAATTCCCCATAAACCTACTTATCCCGTGTGCTGTCCCTCCAGAGTGACAGGTAATTTGCCGGACGTCTTCAGGATTAAAGACGTGCTGGAGGAGAAAGTTGGAAGGATGCCTTGAGCTCTCCCGAGGATTCTAGCAGCCCGTTCTAAGACAGTCCATCTGCTTCAATAAAACACCAGTACCACTAGGCACTCTGCAGCAGGCACCTGCTGGGCACGGGACAGACTATCTCGGGTTTTGCAGACTCACCAGGGAACCCCATTATACAAACTGGAAAACTCTATCTTAGGGAGGTCACTTGCCTGTGGACACCCAGCTAGAAGGTGGCGCTGGAATTTGGTCCAGATCCGCCTGACTTTAAAGCCATGAGTGCCCACAGCACTGCCATGCCTCCTGCTCGCCCTGTGGGGAGTGTAAACACGGCAGAGGAGGAGAGGGGAGTGTCTAGTGGAAGCTGAGCTCCCATCACTGCTACCACGCAGGTGCGAGGCTCTCTACAGAGCAGCTCCCTGTTGGATCAGAAGGGCCCTGGTGTGAATTTCTGGACCTGGGGAAGCCCTTTCAGCCCATGTCCTGATGGCTCCAACACCTCACGCTTAGAAACCAAAGGCACCATCATTTTCCCTCGCTCCCACTCCACACACAGAGCCATCTGTAACCTAACTTGATCGTAATTAAATTTTTAATACAAAATTGCAAGATTAATGGATTAATTACAATTTATTTGCAAAGCATTAAAAGCATGACTCAAGAACGTTTTCCCTAAAGATTGTTTTGGGTTGCCCAAGGCAGGATAACTAAAGAGACAGAGGAAAGAGTGAAAAACACACAACCACCAGCCTAATGAAAGATAACCAAATAAACCAGCAACTTCACTGGGTGAAGTCTACAGCCGGTGGGGTGCCCAGAAGCCCGGCATGTGTCTTGGCACTGACGGGGCTCTCCAGGCGCCACGCTAATGAATCATCCTGCCTGTTTTCCCCTGTCTCTGTTTTCCGGAACAGCCTCCCTTTGACGGCGAAGACGAAGACGAGCTATTTCAGTCCATAATGGAGCATAACGTCTCTTATCCCAAATCCTTGTCCAAGGAGGCCGTTTCCATCTGCAAAGGAGTAAGTAGACCTGCGTTCCTTTTATAGTCGCGGACCGAGAGGATGAATGGAGGAAATCTCTTTCCCGTAGTTCTGCTTCTGAGAGAGGTGGCAGAGAGCCTACAAACCCATGCCACTGCTTCCAGCCACCAAGGGCCACCGCAGGGAGCCATGAGGAACATGGTGGCCTGGAAAGGAGGTTCTGCTCCCTAGTCTGTCTGGAGCTCTGGCCCCAGCCGCTAATCGCACTGGGCTTTAGTTTCTCATCCACCTCATGAAAGTGTGCCATGAGTTACCAGAAATAACCTCGGGTCCTCGGAAAATATTCGGTCTCTTCCCTTGCCTGACTTGGTGTGCCTTGGGTCATTCTTCATTCGATTCTCTTTTTTTGAGATCGAACATGCGTGCAGAAATGGGCCCGGGTCATGGGTGTGTATATCAGTGAATTTTCACAAAACAAAACACCCAGTGACTGCTCCCAGGTCAGGAAAGGGAAGGTTTCCGACACCCTAGACTGCCCCTCCCTTCCCGTCCTGTAGTGACTCGCCACCCGTCCAGATAAGCAGCGTCCCCGCTCGTCCCTGCGGGGATTAGCCTTGTCTGTTTTGAACTTGGCGCAAATGAGCTCCTATAGCAGACGGTCCCCAGGCGTGGCGTCTTTCACCCCACATGGTGATTGCGGCATTTCTCCAGATCCCCGCGTGGACGCCGTCTTCCGTCTTCTATCCGCCCACGGAACATTCCATCGTGTGGTCACACCACAGTTTACTTATTCATGCTACGGCGGCGGGGAGGGGCACAGGTTTGAGTTGTTTCCACTTTGGTTTGGGGCTGTTACAAATAGAACTGCCCTGAAACTTCTAGGTTTTGTGTTTTGGGGAGCCTAGGAGCTCCCTTCTGCAGAGGAGAGACCCAGGAATAGAAAATTACCGGGTCCTGACCTGGTTAGTTTTTCACTGTAAAGCTTTACGCCACAAAATTACCATCAGACCCAGTGGAATATGCAATGTAACACACTCCTAACATTTTCTGGCACGTTTGATCGGGATCACGTGGGACACAGTTATCCGGCCTCTTCCAAGAGCAGGGCACTGTTGACATAACTGAACAGGGAGAGCTGGGCCCTGCCTCAGAGCTTATAACCCGTGTTCGCCTCTGTCTTCCGCAGTAGACGCGTGAGAATTAACACCTGCTGGTCACAGCATTTCTTTTTCCCAGCCCATGAGTCTTTGATTAACACATTTTGGTCCAGGCAGTAAACAGGTATATGATGCCTATTATCAGCACACATACAGTTTTTAGTGATTGCCTCCCTTTTCGCATACATATATTTTTAGAGACCTACAGAATGGCAGCTCTCATGCAGGTAGTGTACAAAGACACCTGATTAAATTCTTATTGGCTCTGGGGCCACATCACTTCCCGGTGTCCTTTATCATAAAAAATCGCTATAGAAAGACTCCTACTGTCAATACCATGTTCGTGAGTTGGGGGTCACTCTGTGCAACCCACGGATTTCTCGGGGTCCTCCCCAGACATCCACACCATCAGGCTCGTAGCAGAGCTGGCAAAGGGAAGGTGCTATCGTCCAGCCTTCTCTTTTTCTCCTAATTTTAGTGTGTGTCGCAGGGGAGGGAGGGTCTTTTTCTCTCTCTTTCAGCTTTATTGAGGTGTAATTGGCAAATAAAATTGCGGTGTGTTGAAAACGTGCCCCATGGTGGTTCGACACGCATATGCACTGTGGGAGATTTCCTGCAATCAAGAAGTCACACCCATCACCTCACACAATTACCTTCTTGCCTTTTGGGGAGAGAATACTTAAGTTCTACTCTCTCAGCGTATCTCAGTTATACAGTACGGTGTCATCACCTCTGGTCACCGCGTCACACATTGTGCCCTCTCTCTGCTATTTTCTAGCTGATGACCAAACACCCAGGCAAGCGGCTGGGTTGCGGGCCAGAGGGGGAGAGGGATGTGCGGGAGCATGCCTTCTTCCGGAGGATCGACTGGGAGAAACTTGAGAACAGGGAGATCCAGCCGCCCTTCAAGCCCAAAGTGGTGAGTAGGGGATGTGGCTTGCCCCTGAGCCCCATGTTCCTGAATCCCAGAGGGGTTCCACCCCTTCTCTGTTGAGAGGAGGCTGGTGGCCCCTGGCCTCTGCGGGGTGAGAACCTGGCCAGGTACCAGCCTCAACTTCTATCTGGGCTCTGGTCAGCATAGACCAGACCACAGGGCCTGTGCCCACCAGACAGGGGGCTGCCGAGTGTCCCCCCAAGAACTGAGAGGGAGCTGGGGCACCTCAGCTTTGGCGATCAGGCTGCATGGACTCGCGCACCCAGCAGGATGTGATCTCTGCTGTGAGTCAGTGATGCGACATTTCACCGGCGTCCCGCTCTCCAGGGTTTGTTTTGCTACTAAAGCATGACTCGTCCTAGCCAGCTCTTCCGCAGGCCCCGGCTACGCTTCCCATGCTGGCCATGGCCCCTGCTGCCAGGAGTGCGAGTCACCCCCCATTCTGGCTTTGCCGCCTTCGTTGACACTCCTCCCATGGGACCCCCATTTTTCCCATTTATTCAGTAAACACTTTGCGTCAGGCCCTGTTCTTTACAAATTGGCTCAATAACCCTCTCGACAACCCTGCTCCGTGGGTAAACAAAGGCACAGAGAGGCTGAGTAACTTGCCTGAAGACACACAGCTGGTAGGTGGTGTTCTGGCTCTGGGATTTGTGTCCCTACCCCAGGATACCATCGCGCCATCTCAGGGACAGCCGTCTGCCCATCTAATGACTGTCGGTGGCAACCAGCCCTGGCCTTTCTTGAAGTTTCTATCTCTGGTGTAACCTCGGGGTCTTTAAGACATCGGGCTCTTAACTCACACCACCTGCCACTTCACGGTGCTTCCCAGGGACGCTGCTTTCCCCTACATCCCATCTCTGGGGACCAGTGGACAGTGTCTTCCAGCTCGGCCGCCGTCTCTGGGGTGTCCCTGTGCTGCCCCTCCCTCCGAGCCTGCAGCAAGAGCAGCTCTGGCCCATGGTCTGCTTGGGAAGCTCCCACACCTGTCTCCCTGGCAGGTGCTCATGAGCAGGGAAAAGGGACCCTCCTGGGGTGGCTGAGTGACTGGCTGGTCGGCACAGGCTTTGTTCTTAGAGCAGCGACCTCCCGTCAAGTATGCTTGTGTGTCCTCTAAGAATAAAACTGCTGGTGGGGGGCCCACTTCTACTTTTCCAAGATATTCTTAGCACCAACTAAAGCAAAACTAAAATGAATCAGGTCAGTTGACTCCCTCCTGAATCATCGTGTCTGCTCCCCACCTTCTCTTAGCGGGTCCCAAACCCAGATCTCAGGGGGTTTTCATGGGGTCCTTCCCCTCGGTGTACAAAGCCTGGCTTGGAGGGGAGCCGGGGTGTAAAGGCCCATGATAAAGAATGCTGCCAGTGGTCTCAGGACATTCCGTTAGGGATTTTCTTCTTCCCCCTTCATATTTGTTTAGCCTCCTTAAAATATGAAAGGCACACAGTAGCCTCATACACACAGCTCAGTTTCTGTACAGGAATAGCGGAGAGAACACACTCACCCTGCTGTAGGTGTGAAGCAAAGCCACTTGTCAGTCGCTTTCCAGAAAGGGACGACAGGGAGCAAAGTCAACCATAAGACACATCTCCTTCTCTGTATCCCCACCTCAGCCTCAGAAGACGTTGTCTGTTTGCGTGGTCACCTGCTTTCTGTGGACACTGGGGCCTTAAATTCAGATATAGGGGGACAAGAGGATGACTCGGGTCCGGAGCCCGGAATCTGACTGCGCAACTCCCTGTGGGCCATGGAAATTACCGGAAGCAGAGTCCCAACCACGGTGGGCAGATGAGCCACTAGCAGTAGAGTGTGTGTGTGTGTGTGTGTGTGTGTGTTTATTCCTGGAGTGCTGCTGTTTGTGTTTTTAGCTGAACACTAGCTAACATAAAAGGAAAGAAGAGAGGGCCTCCCTCACAGCAGCCCTTGAACTCTAATACAGAAGCCAAAACCACGTGCCAAAGGCCTGCTTGCTGAGAGCTCTGGTCAGAGCAGAAGGAGGGACAGCCCCTGCTTACAGGGAGTTTTCCCAGGCCAGAGCCTATGTCCGGCTGGAGAACTGTATGCAGGAAAGGAAGATGCTGGAAAACGTACTCACGGGTAGTGGAGGGGGCAGCAGGGGACGCAAAGCCATGCTGGGGTCAGGAGCAAGTCGCCGCAGACCTGTCCCAGGGCTGAAGAGTGTCAAGGACACAGAGGTCAACCAGAGAGTTGGGGCTCCCGGGAGAGCTCCCAGTGCCTCCACCACGCCATGTGCAGAGCAGCAGAATTTGGCCCCTAATCCCAGCCAAAGGGGCATCTCCACCGCCTCCAGGATGTCATTCTGTTCCCGAGGTGAGTGGAGTGGAGTGGAGACAGCACACGCCAAGGATGGTCTGGGCGGCGGGAGAGGACATTTCTAACAGTGCAAGAGCAGAGGCCGCACACGGCACGCCGGGGTCACAGCCTCCAAGAAGAGCTACTGGCTCATTCGAGGGGCTCCGTGATGTGTCCCCGCTTCCTCAGTGAAAAATGTAGCTCCCTGACCCAGGACTAATGAAGCCAAGAGGGGACAGATAAACTCTAGAGCCCAGTATTCTCCGATGGGCAGTTTTGTCCTTTCAAAGGGAGACGGAGCAAGACATCCTCGCCGTCCCCTGCTGCCAGGTGACTGACACTTGGACCGCGTGTGCGCCGAACCCCTCCCAGGGAGCATCTCCCCTCCAAGCTGAGCTGAGAGCCCCAGTGGGCAAAGCTGGTCTGCGTTCGTGAAGTTTGCTCAATGCTTTTGCCTGTTCAGCAGTGGCCGTGAACCCATTTCCCTGAGATTTAGGGAGTTAAGGGGACATTCCCTCCTGGTTCCCACAAAATCAAACCTTTGTGATGCATAAATCCGTCAGGACACGCCACACAGAACTTCCCACCTCGCGGGGACGTGGAGGTCAGGCCCTGCCATGCAGCTGTGTTCTGGATTCGGTTTGAATTGACTCGCGTTCCAAGTGGAGAGAGGAACGTGGCCGCGTCAGGTGTGTGGGACTGTGGCCGTCGCCCCGGACGGCGGCGAGTCTGGGGGCTCAGAGCTGCATATCCCAGGCACACAAGCGGCAGAGCCAGAGAACAGCCTGCCCCCGGGGAGGCCGGTGAGGGGGAGGGGAGTCCGGTCTGGCAGAGCCACGTCCCCAGAAGCCTGCTGTGTGCAACTGTGAAGGTGAAGACAGTTTTCTAGAAGATGCGACCATCACTTATGTACTGGTTGATTATGTCAAACAAAAGCAAAAAGAAAAACAGCTGTGTTACATTCTCCTGGAGGTGAGCGCACTCTCTCTCTCTCATTACTCTCCTTTTTTTTTCTTTGAAGATTTTATTTATTTATTTGACAGACAGAGATCACAACTAGGCAGAGAGGCAGGCAGAGAGAGAGGAGGAAGCAGGCTCCCTGCTGAGCAGAGAGCCCATGGGATCATGGGCTCTCTGCTCTGGGATCATGACCTGAGCTAAAGGCAGAGGCTTAACCCACTGAGCCACCAAGGTGCCCCATAACTCTCCTTCTTTACGGAAAAAAAGCACACAGCGAACTGGTTTCCTTTTTCTCTGAAAGAAAACACAACAGCGGAAGAGCCTCCGATCCACAGACCAAGGCCCGTCCGCTCAGCATTTGGCCGATGTTCTGAACAAGCCTGAGTCCCCATAGAGGCTTATTAATGTTCAGAAGAGTCCATGTAAGAAAGTTTTTTTTTTTTTTTTAATGTTTAAGTTCAAAGAAGATGTCACTCCTGAAAAGGTAAATGTTCAGTTGCTGAGGGAGAAAAACAAGGGGCCAGGCTGCCTCCCATGGCATCAGGTTCGAGAGGAGGTTTCCAGGGGTAAAGATGGCACAGCCAAGCCCACTTGGCCCAGCATCCTGAGAACCCGTGGAGGGAAGGAGAGCGCATTCTTTCTGCTTTGCTTGAATAATCAAAGGCTGAGGCACACATGAGCCCAAAACTCTGATCCAGTGTCGCTTTGAATTTTGTAGGCTTTTACCCTGATTTATTATTCATGTGAATAAAATGCCTGAGAACAGCCTTTAAGGTCCCGTTCATCCTGCCCGTGATAAATAACAGTTTATACAAATATCAGAATCGGAAAGTTAATTGATTCTTTTTCCTTTTTTGAATTCTATCCATTGGCACCTAGGAGCAGAATAGCTAGTTCACAGGTGAGCCAAAAACCTTCACGATACTTAAGTGGTTATTAGAGAGAGAAAGATTAATCTATAAAGTTAACACCGCAAAATATATTCCTGAGTTGATAGATGAGCAGAGCCCTTTGGAAATAGGCTTGTCTGTCATGGAGAGCCTTTCTGGGGAGATTACTGTCCTTATTTTATCAAAAAAAAGAGAGGGGAAAAATATAACTTTCATCAGGATGCTGTCATCCTTGCGGCAAGAGCCAGAGAGAATAGGAACAGTGGGTACAAATGTAGGTGCCGTGGTGGTGAGATTGTACAGTCAAGTTCATTTTCCCAGTCACCCCGAAATCCTTTACAGGTGTATCTCGGGGTGCCTGTGGGTTTGGTTCCAAATGGCCACGATGTGATGAAGTACATGACAGAGTAAAGCGAGGCAATGAATTTGGGGGTTTCCCAGTGCATCTAAAAGTTACATTTACACCATCCTTCAGTCTACGAAGTGTGCACTAGCATTGTATCTTAAGAAGAAAAAACAACGCATGTATCTTTATTTAAAAATACTTTGTTGCTAAAAAGCGCTAACCATCCCGGGAGCTCTTAGAGAGGTCTGTCCCTGATCACAGATCACTGTAACAAATATAATAATGAAGATGTTTGAAATATTGTGAGAATTACCAAAATGTGGCCTAGAGACAAGAAGTGAGCAAATGCAATTGGAAACAATCGTGCCAGTAGACTTTGTGGATCCCAGACTGCCACAGACTTCCGATTTACCAAAAACACAGGGTCTGTGGAGTGTGGTGAAACAAGGCATTTCACGGTGCCATTAGCTTGTCTG